AAAAAAAAAAAAAAAAAAGAAAAGGATTGAAGGCGAGACGAAAGAATTCGATGAAACGATCGAACGAAATCATCGGTCACGGAAGGGTTTCACTTTCGACTCCCTCTCCGCGTCCGTTTTCCCATGCGAGTTCGCAAGTGCGATCGCGTTAAAGCCAAAGTCATTAATCCGCTAATTGGAAGCAATGCGGGGGAAAAGTTTTTACTCGTAGCTCGTTGTAAAAGGCCGTCCCGTGCGTTTTGCAATCGTAAGAGACTGTTAACAGTGGTTCCCTTATTCGAAATCGAATAAGAAACGAAATCGATTCTTGTAGAATCGCGTAGAAAACGAAGAATATTTCCACGATTATCCTCACTTCGCTCAGGCAATTAATTCCAATTCGAAAGAAAATTACTTCCGTTTGAAAGAAATATTCTCCATTAGAGAACCTCTGGTTTATTTTTTTTTTCAATTAGAAAGAAACTTTTATTATAATTAAAATTAAAAATGTAATTAATATATATAATATTTTATATAATTAATATATATATTAATAATATAATTATATATATTATTATAATAATGGAAAGTTGATCGAAGGAACTTTGTCTCCTGTCACTCGTACTACGATACACGTAATTGAGAACCACTGAACTGTATATAGTATATCTAATAGCCGTGGCTAACCTTTCTCCGGCGTGCTACACATTTTTCACAGAGATCGGCCTCTGTGACGGGTGAAAGAGAAGGGTACGAGGCATGTAGATCTGCAATTACGCGTCGCCGTTGATAATACCTTTTGCCCAAGCCGTTTACCTCGATCGAGCTTCTGATCATCATCGATTATCGACGGGGTATCATCGTATCAACTATCTGTTGATCGTTCTTTCCTACTCGCGAGATTGAAACGCGAATAAATTGACTCGAGATATTTCGTGTAATTTTTCTGATTTATTTTTAATACGAAAAATAATTATATAAGCAAATTGAAAAAAAAAAAAAAAAAAGAAACGAAAGCAAGCTGTTTCTTTTATCTTAGCGTTAGAGTTATCTTGCTTATTACTTGTCCGTTCCCTTTATCGTATGGCTGGCTCGTATTGCTTGGCTGGTAACGTAAGGCTAATACTAGATTGGATTAAATCATTCGACGTGGACGTGTTATGAAATTGTACAAATTTCATTTTCTTCTCCTCTCACGAATAATCATTTCCGAAAAGGAAAAAAAAAACAACGTCGAGAAAAATCTTTCTGAAAACGAGGGAAAGATATTTCGCGATCTCTTTTAACATTCTATTTTCACGATCCAATTTTCAAACAAGCTATAAACAAACGTTTCGTAACACGTATAACGGTATATTGTTAACGAGTCAAGGTGCAGGGTGTGTGCAGAAACGTACTCGAGTAATATACATACATAAGATGTTTCACGAATGAACCTATAACTGTAAAAGTTCTCGAATGGTATATGAGAAGACAGAATAAAAATTTCATTGAAGTAAAATTAAATAATTCCAATTCTCCGTATATGTTCGATCTGGAGGCACTTAATTTTAAATAGAACAAATAGAATCTTTATATATATACATAACAAAAATATAGAAATACTAATCGAAATTACTCCTAATCAATCAACAAAAAATTTTCAACGTATAATACGTTGTAAAAAAGAAAAAGGAAAAAAAAGTAGACATAACCTCAAAATCTGTCAAACTCGTCCACTTCGAGCACGTAAGAAACCCAACTTCTTCCATCTCTTTAAGAATCATAACGTAAGAGCGAGTATCGTGTAACGCCCTATACGTACATATTATTATACTTGAGCGAGTCTCGAGTCTTTAAGAATGAGCCTCGACACGAGTTCCTTTTCACTTTAGATTCCGTCACGCGACTGAGCACGGAGCTCGTGTCGGCCGCTTGGCGGGCATTTTTCACTGTCGGCCATATATACACGGTAAGTAGATAGGTTTATCTTTTATCGGGGCGCTTTCCTTGCCGCGGCGCTCTATCCCGTGCGGCTAAATATTCGAAACGAGTGACCACACCCGGCATACCAACCGGCTCTCGAATCGTAACCCACCACGCCGCGCCATTATTGTCCATTGAAACTTTCATTGCCTCGCCACCGTTCATTACCACCGTCGATACACGTATCCGGTTCGCGGATAAATTAACATTTCCAGGGACGTTAACCATGTAAAACCATGCATCCTTGGATCAACGTCGCGTAAAAAAAAAATGGAATAATTGTATCGGTTACTTGTGCCTCTTGGCATCCGAGTTTCTGAAAATAAACGCTTCGAAGGTAACATAACCTCTTTGTTGCGTTATATTCCATTGATACGGTGAAACGTATTCGGTTGTAGTTGTAGTTTGTTTTCACTAAATGATTGTAATTAAAGTGATGATAGGTGCGAGTTTTTTTAATTGTTTCACTAGACTGATGTTAAATTAGAAATTTTTAAAATGTATAAGAAAGTGATGAAACGTACAACTTTGTTATAGAATACGCGATTTTCTTTCTTTTTTTTTTTTTTTTTTATAATGAAACACGGTAGATAAAATATTATTTAAATTGAAAAAAAAGAGTTTATAATCCAGTTGCCGTAAATTTACTACAGTTGCCTCGTAGTAAATTATTTTTTAAATCTTGAATCGAAATAAATGAATCGATAATTAAAAGCTTGGGGGAAAAAGTAATTGATACAAATATCCTATATCTCGAAACTTATTAATTCCTAACATATTTAACACGATAATTGTGTGACAATAAAAATAGAATCGAATGAAAAAAATAATAATAATTAATTATCCCGTATTTTAGATATATCCTCATTATGCAAATACCGATTAAATAAAACTGTCCATTAATCGATGAAAAACAACTTTTCTGATATTTAATCAATATACCGTGATGAAATATAAATTTATTAGACGTCAAGTATTAAAGACGAACAATATTATTTGATCCGTGCATTTTTATCGATAATGTCTTATTTAGCATTTTATTAGTTTTTTTTACATCGAACGATAACATGCAATTATACAGATACGCATCTACGAACGTTACAACATCTTTCCAAGGAATATTATGCAGCCAGTTATTACTTCACGGGACATCCATCGATTGAATTGATTAACCACTACATTATAACTGCATTTTTGCCATTTAAAATATCCGTAAAGATTCTTCTTTCTTTAAACTTCGATATTTTAAATAAAAATTGATAATTACGCAGAAACGAGGATCTTAAAAATCAATTATATTAAATTTCGAATATGTTGTAGCAAATAACAACACTTTTTCACATTTTTTCACTCTGCCTTTTTTATCGACGGTATCCTATTTTTACCCACCGAGTTTTCTAACCTGACCGTACTTATGCATGCCAAATTGGATTGAATTAGGTTAGGAAATTATCACATTCTATCGCTCATCTTTCACGCAAAAAATTATTCACTTTCAAAGAAATTTCTTTCTCTGACACACGTTTGCAAAACGTTCAATCCTTTGATCGTTGTGCAAAACGAACAATTAAAGAAATTATGAGAAAAATTAAGGCCTGAAGCCTAAAAATAAAATCTAGATTAAAAAATATTTTCTATCGTTATATTTCATTTTCTTTATTGCGAAAATGAAAAATAATCGATAGTTAAAAAAATAAGCAAAATAAATGTCTCAGAAAACATTATTCTGCCTATTAATTCTCTATTTATCTATTTAATCAGTATCCTTATTTAAGCATGCACTTAATTATATATACATTTTTCTTATAAAGTACTTGCTTATATCGATAAAATAGTTCATCTAATGAAATTATCTTTAAGATAGTTTCATTAATTATAAATCTATCTTAATCTGCCTATTGAAAATATAATTATTCCTACCTACATACAAATATCTTAAATTCTAATTATCAGAATGACCAGAGAAAATGCAAATGAGGTTGTACAGATAAAAAAAAATGATGATCTAAAATTATGAGAACAGACACTATGGATTTGATTGCTTGGAACGAGAGAATTTAGGGATTTAGGCAAACGATTCGTGATTGCATCGTTTTGAAGAAATGGAAATCTGACAATGAAGAATCTGATAACAAAATGATGAGGAAGGCGAGGGTGGTTTTCGACGACAAGGAGAAAAGCAGAATGACATTCATACGAAATGATTAAACGTATATTTAATATCCTCAAGAATATTTCTCACAATTTGAGAAATCCCACTTATCAGAAATTTAAAAATTTACCTGATTTCTGATCCTCCTGGAGTATTTTCAACTGCTTTCTTCACAAGGAGATGCTGAAAGAAAAAAACGAAGAAAAAGCCAGAAGGGTTACCAAAATTATCCACTCAATTTGAACTCGAACAAACCCGTGAGTGGATCTTTTATCTCTCGCAACACTAATATACTAAATTTTCAAAAAAGAACCGCGAAGAGTGCTTCATTCTATTTGCAATTATTACTCAACAAAAAAAAAAAGAACGAATTATTGTAATTTTAATTAATTAACATTATTAATACTAATTTATGCACTCGTATATCAATTAAACGCAACACTAATAACGAACGGATCCATTGTAGTACAACCACGTTTATGCAGCTCTTGTAACCGCATTGAGTGGTCCAGGAACAGAAACATCTTCCACATTCGTCGTGGAAGGATAATGGGCAATCGTGTATGCAACACTACTTCAAAACGCGTTTACTCATCAAAGCAAAC